CATTATCATGTCTTTTTTAATTTTTAAAGGAAATAGTCTTTGTCTTAAAGCTACAAAAAAACCTAAAATTTGGATAAAGTCATGTGATATTATTTAGCAATTTTTATAATACTATTCTGTTTACCCATTCAGATCATACAAAACCCACTGTTCAATCATTGTCCATGTTAAGTAGAAAGGAGATCCCCCTAATCCCTCAGTGGACAAGGAAGGAAAATAATTAGGATTTTGTCTTGTGATGTAAACTTACTCACTGTGTTTTGGGATAAGTGAGATGTACCTGTAACATCTTGTGCTTTTCTTTTTTATGAAGTCATTGAATTATCACAATGGTTTGGTTATAATCCTCACTGGTATGAGCATGTTTTGAAAGCTCTGTGTTTGATCTCTATATATGCTATATTTAACATGGTACCTGACACATGATAGGAAAATATACATACCTTTCAACGTTCCAAACATACAACCTTTCAACGTTCAGAAAGTTCCATCCAGTGAGGAATATCTGGAGAAAACTCTCTGAAATTCTATATTATTTCCTTCTGTATTTCTTTGTCATGAGATATGAATTATGTTCCTATAGTCATGTTTATCTTCCTTACCTACATACATGGGCTGAAGCAATTCTCAACATATGAGTGTACCATTCAATGATAATTCAGATGAAAATTCACAGTCCAAAAATGAAAACCCATAACTGACTTTTACATTCTTGGTTTCAAGGAAAAGGGCTCATCTTTCTCATCTTTTAGTGCAGAAAAAATATTATCAACTTCATTTGCAATTCATATTCATTTTTGTTTATATATAATTAGATTTTTAACTCCAAGCAAGTTATAAGGAATTAAAAGGGTAAACCATAGCAAACGACCCTAGATTGTTTCCTTACATGTCTTAAGTTTTTCTTTTGCTGAAAAGTCAATTGTGTTGTTGATTCTTCTCAACTATTAAAAAGCCTTTTGACATCTGATAATTAGTAAGTCATATTACTATATACACACATACATCATTTTTATTACTATTTTCAGATGTACACTACAGGTCTGAATGAGCTTGAATATGTTTAATTTCTGAATGGTACACTCATTGGTCATCACAGAACTGGATCACTCAGTATCTCCACCCACCTACCCATACAACTCAGCCCTCAGCCATCATCCATGGGCACCATTTTATTGATAGTATAAAATGTCTTCCCTTGGTAATGCCTAAATAAATAGTATGAACTAAACAGAGAACAAAAAGACCCATTGGACTCTAGAATAGACAATACAAGTTTCTTGGCCTTTAAAAAAAACATAGGAAGTTGCATAGGAAGTCAGTGGCTCATGCCTATAATCCTAGCTACTCAGGAGTCTGAAATCTGAGTATCATGGTTCAAAGCCCAGCCTGGGCAGGAAAAGTCCAAGAGACTCTTATCTCCAATAAACCACTAGAAAACTGGAAATGGTGCTGTAGCTCAAGTGGTAGAGCCCTGGTCTTGACCTGAAGAACTGAGAGTACCTAAGGGCAAAAACATAGGTAGCTGTCATCCTAATCTATAGTGAATACAGTTTTTAAGAGTGGGCCATTGCTTCTCTATCCTTCTAAAAGTCTTTTCAAGTAGCACTTTGCTGCTTTTTTTATGGGTAATAACTATTTCAAAGATACTAGATATCTGTGTATTGCTTTAATTCTTCTTTCTAAATTGAGAGCTTGAATTTTGAGGTCCTGTGGATGAAAGAATAGGAATTTGAATATTTTGAGAGGTGAAAGACATATACTGGTAGAATTTCATGATTTAGTACTTAAATATGCCTAATATGATAATTGATATGAGGAATTAATCATCAGTCAACTGGTCAAAATATTGTGATATGCGTGGTGGCTCACTTCTGAGTAATTATCTTCATTATCTGTGGAATGCATCTACTCAGATAATAAAGAAGCAAGATCAGAAGTGTTGCTTTTCAATGCCAGCTTGGACAAAGAATCAGTAAGACTATCTCAACAAGCAAGCTGGGTATGGTAGTGTACCACTTTGATCCAAGTTGTTTGGGAGTCTGTGGGTACAATGGTCATAGTCTGAGACCAGCCCAGGGGACAAATGCAAAGCATGGTATAAAGTAACTAAAGCAAAAAACCTTGGGTTTGACTCAAGTGGCGGACCACCTACCTGGAAGCAAGAGTTCTGTCAAATGTTATTAATTTCATGCTGTTTTCCATGGAAAACTTAAGCTACAGTTGACACAATATTGAATGCTTATTAAAGTTCTAATTTAAAAGTATAAATTATAACTTGGTTTACCCAGAAATGTCACTGTTGAAATGTAGTTGAAATTTTGCTCAAAGACATTTTTCACTTGAGAAACAGAATCAGTATATTTAAATATACATGCCATAGATACGTTTACTGAATTTATAAAAGAAATCATTGGCTGTATCTTTCACTAGTAAATAAGGAAAATAATTATTCCTTTGGGAAGAAAAATGTTATCAAATAATTCTTTTTTCTTGTTAGAAAGAGCACTGGAGAGTTCATATTTGAAAGAACTTATTCTGAGTAGGAAGGGACAGGAAAAACAAGACATATAAAGTTCATCAAGGGTTTCAGGGAAGCATCTCATGCCAGTAGGATTTTAAAAAATCCTCATTAGAATGATCTCAGCACTGGATAGGGATTGAAAAGAAAGTATTGATTTCCTACCTCAGTCATAAAAAATATCCTTGATACATACTATTCTTTTCTAATTTGTGGGATGTTCAAACTGTACTAGCATGAGCTTTCTCTTGAGTGGTTATTAAGTCAGTTAGACTGAGTTATTGCAGGAGTGAAAATGAGATTCTCACCTTATTCAAGCAAGATATTGTTGGAAAGTTGTTAGCTCATAGCCCATCAGTGAATAAAGAATCATATTCCCATGAATGAATGAAGAAATGAGAAGTAATGAGTGAAAGTAATGAGCTACTCTTTCAATTTTCAGGCTGCCTCCTCCTCCTCCTCCTCCTCCTCCTCCTCCTCCTCCTCCTCTCCCTTTTTCCCCCTTTCCTCTCCCTCTTCCATCCTTCTCTTCCTCCTCCTTCTTTTCCTCCTTCCCTTCTCTCCCCTCTTCCTATCTCTTCTTCCTTTTTCTTTGTGCCTTTCCCTCAGCTTGAACTCAGGCTTGAGCACTGTCTCTATGCTTTGTTTGCAAAAGATTGGCACTCTATGACTTGAGCCACACTTCTATATCCAGCTTTTTGGGGTAGTTTATTGGAAATAAGAGTCTCATGGACTTTGCTTCCTAGACTGACTTCAGATCGAAGTCCTCTTCGCTACTCAGGCATGAGCCATCAGAACCTGTCAGTCATCTTTTCAAATTATTTTATGTATTCCAAAGTAAAATTATACTTTGAATACCAAATGTATAGTTGTTCAATCTCAAGTGATGGATGTGCTTCGTGGTTTTTCTATAGAAATCATCATCTTTTCTTCTTGAATATGTATAACTTATTCAAAATAACTGCCAGTTCAAACTATTTAGAAGTGTGGTATTGGTAAGCTAGAGACCAAAGTTTGAGGTAGAATTACATGTAAAACTTAAGCCATGATGACAAATAATGAACAAAGTGTTAACTAGTGATTTAATAAATATTAGTGAATTTTCCAACAAGAAAGAAAAAGATTCAGAGCTTTTCTGAGAAATTTTCCATCTTCTGCATCTCATAGTAGGTTAAGCAAAGCCGTATTCCTGAAGCAAGACAGTTAGAAAAGGAACATAGAGGCTTGTAGAAAAAAAACTGATTAGAAATAACCACATGTAAAATAGTATTCAGAAAGAGGATTCAACTTTTGTGTACTTAACAAAATACCTATCAACTATTCTTAAATATTATTAATTCAGTTTAGCTAATGAGGAGGCCCTAGTAAATTATCAGTTATGTAAGAGTACATTTTGTTTATGTCAGCAGTAGAACCAAATATGATGTAGGATGTAAGAAAAGGACTGTAGGAGCTTAGGATATAGGATAATGCTTTATGTATCAAGTAAGATATTGAATCAAATTCCCTGAAGTGGATAAGGATGAATGGATATTCTCTCTCTCTCTCTCTCTCTCTCTCTCTCTCTCTATATATATATATATATATATGATAATCGATCAAAGGTAATCCTTTAAATGGTAGGTAATATATAAAGAAACACTCTTCTGCAGACATGCAGTCAGCTGTGATGGTTCCTGAAGCCACATGATTTCCTCTATGGGAAATAAACTTTGTAATTTTAAACTATGTTTCTATTATCTTTGAAAAGCTGCACAAAGAAGTTACCATTCAACAAATCAGTTTACAAGTACAATGCATCTTGTTTGATGTATCTCTACTTAAAGAAAACTGTGATGGACTCTGCTTAAGCATTTTCAACCCATTCACTAATGTAATTTTGACTAAAAAACATTTTTTTAACAGAGAGTGAGCTTCTTTTGAAAAACATTTGAACAACACTATGTAGTAGGGAACCTACAAGAGGAGTAACATGGCTGGTTGGAATTTTAGCTCTAACCAATATAAATAATTTTTGGTTCCCAGTTTCCTCGTCTATGTGGTAAGAATGTTAAATGGCATTATATGTATATCTAAAAACTCCTCAAAGTTAATATGGTCAATTCTGCAATAGAAAATTCAGAATTAAAAAATTCAGATATGGTTTAAGTAAGCAAATAATCAGACACACATATCACTTAATCAGTTATATTTTTACACTACAGGTTTTAAAGTGCTAGATATCCATGAATGGATCCTAAAACCAACTTACTAGCATTCAACCACATTTACCTAAATAAACAATAGAATAGAGAAAAATGCCCATGTACATAATAAGAATTAACCACAACTATTACCTTTTCACTTGTATTTTCATACATTACATCTTCATGAATATGTCTTACAGTTCATAGTACAAATCATAGGCTTATCTTTCATCGATATCAAACTATTAACCAATAACTCATTTATGGTATCTTTAGTTGAGTCTTTCACTTACCTATGGTGGGGTCATGATAATCCGGGAATTGATGGCTAATAAACTGCATTGTCATTGCTGAAAGAAAAATAGATTTAATTTACTAAAACGTTATCAATTCCTCAATACGGTATTCACCAAAATAGCTCATCACTCTCAGTAGTTTCTAGTAAATAATCTATGTTTAGGAATAATTTAATTATACTACATGAACTACGCTTTGATAATAACAGCAAGTTATACAGAGGAAAAGGTGTTAAATAGTACCATTTTTTTCTTGGAATACATATATTTACATTTTAAATGTCTTTCAGGAAAGAAGGCATTAGGGTACAAATAAGAACACTCAATATTTTGGTGTTGGAGATCTGTAGTTTAATAGCTGGTTATTGGAAATATTTTTCCACTGAAGATATACTTATTCTTTTATTTATTTTTACAGCTTTAAAGAGTTTACTTAGTAAAAAGTGAAGGCTAGGAGAGTGAACAGTAAGATCTGATTGCTTACCGGATGGTGAGGGACCAGGTTGTTTGTTTGTTTGTTTGTTTTTGTTTTGTTTTGCTTTTTCCTGTTTTCATTTTTAAAAAAAATTTATTTTTCTATTGTGAACATACTGTACAGAGGGGTTACAATTACATGGGCAAGATAATGAGTACATTTCTTTTTTTTGACATGGACATGCTCTTTACTTATTATTCTTTTTTTTATTGTGAACATACTGTACAGAGGGGTTACAATTACATGGGCAAGATAATGAGTACATTTCTTATCAAGCATTGTCCAGTTGTTTTGTATATCCCTCCACACCATCCTTTTTTCATCTCTTTCAGAAATTTATAAGAAGGTAATTGGCTTGTTTGTAATAAACAAGACTCTCTCCTTGGTGGTAGCTTATAGAAGGGCTGGCCTGGGTTATGACAATACCTAAAACCATCCTCTAATTTAGGTAGGGGAACAAGTTGGTCTGAAGCCATTTGCCAATGTTTTCCTTTATTTCTCCCCTCTGAGTTTTCGCTGACTGTTGTCTGGACATGGAGATGTTGATCTCTGTTCTGGCTACTTCCTGCTGAATGGGGGTGACTTGTCCTTGCCCTTTCAAAAGTAACTGAAGCTGAGAGGTCAAAAAGAAAATGGTTCATATAAGCATGCCTACTTAATGCCCATACCTGGCTACCTTCTAACACCACGGGATTTATAACCTTGCCTTTTTGTCATAAGCTATTTCTACAGTACCAGAAAAAAAATTCAGTTATCCTTCTCACATATGGGCAAACACAGCCTCTTAGGACTCAAAAAGTTTTTACTTTTCCCATATATCCTTTAAGAGATGGTTGAGAAGCCCGGCACCGGTTGCTCATGCTTGTAATCCTTGCTACTCAGGAGGATGAGATTTGAGGATTGCGGTTCAAAACCAGCCAAGGCAGGAAAAGTCCCCGTGAGACTCTTATTTCCAATTAACCACCAGAAAACTGGAAATGGTACTGTGGCTCAAAATGGTAGAACTCTAGCCTTGAGCTGAAGAGCTCAGGGACAGCACCCATGCCCCACAACCAACAATGAGAAAGGGAGGGGGGAACAGGGAGAGAGTGAGGGTAAGGAGAGGGAGAGGGAGTTGGGTTTGTTATAAACAACCTCCAAATTCAAAATGTATAAGGGCTGCCTTATTACATCCCTGTCATATATAGGGTGTCTAATCTATGGGCCAAATGACTCTTAATGTTGTGAAGCATGTGACTTTCTATAACGATGTTTATATTTTTAAGTGTTTCTTCCTGTGAATTTCCATTCTAAGGAGACAATGGTGACTCAAGTAAAACAAGAAACTTAAAACAATAATCGACAATAGTTCTTTTATTTTTTAAAAAACTTCTGTTTTTACATTGACAAAGTCTACCTCTTTATTCAAACTGTAAGATCCTGATTCCTCCTTTTAATTATGGCTCAAATTTGGCCACTGTCCTTGAATACGAACAAGGTTGACATAACTTCATTGTAGCACAGATTCTACATATCATTTTGGAGTAAATCAGACTTGCTTTATCACAGCCTACTTTTATCAAGAGTCCCATTAAGTTGGCTTAGCAAGAATCCTACCTTGGATGCCTCTTAGAAACTTTTCTATCCACCAATACAAATTCTCCCCTTCTTCTCTTCACCATCTGCTTTTAGTCTACGAATCTGTAATATTCCTATTGTATTCAGAATTGACCTTCATTCTATACTTAAATCTCTTTCCCCTGCAGCAGTTGTTTCTGTATAAGATCTATCATTGCTGCCTATCTACTGTCCAGATCTGGTTCTCCAGAATAGTATGTTTACACTTCAGCAAGTGTTTAGAGTAGGAAAGATTTATATAAATTCAGTGAACATGTAAGCACACTGTCTAGCTTTGCTGAGAAATGCAAAGAAATGCAATCCAGTGGAAAAGAATTGCAGTATGCACTTTAATTATTTTCCTCCTGCTTTTGCCTTGACAAAAAAGATGTCTGTATATGAAAATGTTACTTAATTTGACACCTTTGGGAAAATTTTTGAAATTCAAATCAACATTCTTTACAGATAGCCTCAGGAGTTAGATTATTCTAGGAAAACAATCAGAAAGCAGCATGTTTATTAAGTGAATATCAAGAGGAGCTTTTTTATTTATCCTTCTCCTGAGCTTTACTATGGCAATTGTTTCTACCTCTTTGTTAACAGTTGGGTTTTTCTCAGTTAGAATACAGAGGTCAGAGGCCTGGACTCATATTGAGCCATTAGTTTTGAGACTCAGTAATTTTATAATCAGTGTGAGCTTAAATTCAACAAATTTGAAACTAAACTGAGGATAGTCTGACTATACCTCTCTCTCCATATATATATATGAATGGAATGGATGCATGAATGTATGCAGGCGTGCATGCATGTATGCATAAATAGTGTGACTAATGGCTCCAGCATTCATATTATGCAGTCCGTGGTTTAGACAAACATCTTGAAAATGTCTGTGGGACTTTCTCTTTTCATATTCTCCGTAAAAACAGCATGAATTTTAAATTTTATTTCCAGATATATTTCAAATATATCTTGATGCCTTCTGCAATTACTATTGCTCAGAATTTCATAAATACAAACATCTCTACTGAACTCAAGTCAAAATTGATTTCACTGTAAATGTTTTCTTTTTCTTCATTGTGATCTTTAAAAATTTGAACATAGCCTATATTCTTCCTTGTGACATTACCAACATGTATACTTTTTCATAGATAACATGACTATGGTCATCTTTCCTTTCAGACTAAAATTTTACCACTGTCTAAGGAACTACTTGTCTTCTCAGTTTTATAGAAATACTTTCCCTCCATATTAGGTTCCCATCCTATGGTTATGCCTGCTCATTGAGTAAGTCTTCACCACAACTTAATGCATTTAGAATTTAGCTCAGTTCTGTGCTTGAGTTCTTTTTTTTTTTTTTTTTGCAAGAACGTTTTCTGAATGAGCTATATCTACTGATGTAACTACTTTCCAGCTTAGGTTTTCTTTAACTATCCTAATAATGGTGAATGCCTCTTTCCAAGTGATATTGTATTCAATACACACATTTTCCTTCTTCCTACCAGCCACCAGTTGCAGGACAGAAACTATCAAGAAATCTTAGATAATGGCTTGTATAATTATAGTCTAAGTTAAAAGCCAAACATATGGGAAGGAGTCACAGAAGTAAAGAAGTTCAGAACATATTGAAGTAAAAGATCTACAATCATTGTAAAATTCATCCAAGACAAACTTCGTAGTTATTTATAAGAACACATGGCATATATTTAGGTGTTTGAGTTTATGCTTGTATGGAAACCTGCTTCTTATTGCACCAGTGACAGAACCCGTTAATTCTCATATCCTCTGATTAAGGGAAAAGGACCCTACTGAGTTTGTTCCAAATCTTTACAATACAGTTTTAGAAAGAATTATTTGTAAAAAAATATTTTCTTGTGATTTTATGAAATTGATGCCTCTAGGTGACATTTAAGAGCCATTTCCCTTAGGCAGGTAATATTCAAGTGAAACAGCTTTTGAAAAATCATTTCTAAACACTTAGGTTGGACAGCAAAATATCCCATCTTGAACATATTTCTTTTGCATATTTCAAGTTGGTTATTCAGAGAAAACTGTAGATCTATGCAGACAGAGAAATGATTTTGAAAGGCTAAACCTTTTCAAAAATAAATAAAAATTGCATTGATGAAAAGAATCCTTCTTTGGTAATGGATGCAGTTCAGATAAGTATGTTTTTTCCAACTTTGATATACAACATTTCAACCTCTGGAAGAAGTTGGGAGCTTGACACTTGGCCTTCACAAGGGTTCCTAAGGTAACTGTGAGATCACACATGCATAATGGGATTATCCTTCCATAACTCTTGATATATAGCTTTTAAAAGGTAATTCTAGATAATTTTCTCCTGGATAATTAAGATTGAATGTTGCTGAATGTAGTGCATTCAGTTTTTCATGCAGATGATATCTATTAAGCTGTTTATTTCAACTAGATAATTCATTTTGAAAAGGAAGGAAAAGAGAAGTATAAAGCAAGTGTCAAGACTACTCTAGAAACTTTTCAAAATATATTCATAAGAATATGTATGGAAGCCGGGCGCTGGTGGCTCACACCTGTAATCCTAGCTCCTCAGGAGGCTGAGATCTGAATATCAAGGTTCAAAGCCACCCGTGCAGGAAGATCCGTGAAACTCTTATCTCCAATAAACCGCCAGAAAACAGGAAATGGCGCTGTAGTAGAGCACTAGCCTTGAGCTGAAGAGCTGAGGGACAGTGTCCAAGCCCAGAGTTCAAGCCCCACGACCAACAAAAAAGAAAAAAAAAAGAAAAAAATGTGTGGAGGGGGAAACAATGTTCAACAAATGTAGTTACTACCTTACATATTTAACTCTAACCCCTCTGTACTTCACCTTGACAATAAAATTTAATTAAAAAATAAAGAAAAATTTAAAATGGGTGAAATCTCTCTAGCATAGTGAATCCCAAATGAATTTTAACTTCATGAAATAGGAAATAAGGCACTTGGAGGTGTGAGTGTGGGGTTAGGT